TCAGCACTATGAAGCCATCTGCAGCCACTGCAGTACAAGTTCGATCCCTGGCCAGGGAGCTAACCCACCTGGCACAACAGACCACTCCTGTCTGCCCAATGCTCCCCTCAGCAGTGTATTTCAGTCAGTCTGCCTGTTCTGCTCCTACACTGTCTCTGGTGAATCCTCTCACCACCTCCGCACCTCTGGCCTACACCTCAGCTCTTGTATGCTAAATATTAAAAAAACCAAAAACACAAAGAAATGAAAAGACATATCACACTCATGGATTGGATGAATTAACATTATCAAAATGGTCATATACCAAAAGCAATTTCAGATTCAATGCAATTCCAATAAAAATCTCAATAACATTCTTCTCAGAAATAGAACAAATATTGTTGAAATTCATATGAAATCACAAAACACCCCAAATAGCCAAAGGTCTCCTGACTAAAAGAGGTTAGGACATAGGTATTACATGCACAGACTTCAAACTATATTACAAAGCCATAATAATAAAAACAGCATGGTATTGGGGAAAAAAATAACAGACACACACACACACAATGGAAATGAATTGAAAGCCCAGAAATAAAACACACATATTTGGTAAACTAATTTATGACAAAGGAGCATAGAATATATATTGGAACACGGAAACCCTCTTCAATAAATGTTGTTGGGAAAACTGAACGGCCACATGCAAAACAGTGAAACTAAACCATGATCTACACCATACAGAAAAATCAACTCAAAATGGATAAAAAACTTGAATGTAAGACCTAATACCATAAAATACGTGGAAGAAAACATAGGCAAAACACTTCATGATATGTACCTCATATCATCTTTGAGGAATCATCCCTAAAAACAGGGAAAGTAAAGGAGAAGATAAGCAGCGGGGACTACATCAAACTAAAAATCATCAATATAGCAAAAGAGACAGCAACCAAAACAAAGAGACCCCCTACTGAATGGGAGAAAATATTTGCACACCATACAATGGACAAAGGACTGGCATCAAAGATCTATGAAGAGCTTCCACACTCAACAAAAACAAAGCAAAAAACTCAATCAAAAAATGGGTAGAACTATAAAAGGTACTTCTCCAAAGAATAAACACAAATGGGCAACAGACATATTAAGAAATATTCAACATCACTTATCAGGGAAGTGCAAATCAAAACCACAATGATACCACCTACCTTGTATATGGTGAGAATGGCCCATATTAAAAAGATCAGAAATAAATGGTAGCAAGGATGTGGTGAAAAAGGAACCCTCTTACACTGCTGGTGGGAATGTAAACCGATCCAGTTATTATGGAAATCTGTGTGGCTGTTCTCCAAAACACTGAAAATTGATCTAATAAACGACCAGTTATTATACTCGTAGGAATCTGTCCAAAGGACACAAAAATACTAATTCAAAAGGAAACCTGTACTCCTATGTTCATTGCAGCACCATTTACAATAGCTAAGATATGAAAACAATGTAAATGCGCTCAAATGAATACATCAAAAAAGGTATACTATTCAGCAATCAAAAGCAATATACATATATTTTTTTAGGTTTTATTTTTATTCAGTTATGCATATAAGAACTGGGGTAGAGGCCTTCCCTGGTGGCGCAGCAGTTGAGGGCTGGGTTGCGAAGCTGCCTGCAGCCTTTGCAGCACCAGTTCGATTCCCCCGCCACCGGCGAGGTCCCACATGGCACGCAGACCTCTCCTGCTGCACCCGCTGCTCCCCTCAGCAGTGTGTTTCGCCAGTCTGCCTGTTTTGTTCCCGGCTCTGGCTCTGGTGAATTCTCTCACCCTCCCACACTTCTGACTGTACCCATTGCTTGTATAAATAAATAAATAAATCTTTTAAAAAAAAAAAAAAAAGAACTGAGGTATATGCCAGAGGTGCAGGGTTGAGAGGATTCACCAGAGACAGAATGGGGCACAGAAAGTTGGATCTACTGAAATACACTGCTGAGGGAAGCAGTGGGCAAGACTTGAGGGGTCTCCTGCACCATATGAGTTAGCTCCCTGGCCAGGAATCAAACTCATGCTGCAGTGGCTGGTGATAGCTTGATAGCGCTGACTTTAACCCCCGCGCCACCAGGGAGGTGCTGCACCTCCCCCTGCTGCTGTGCTGGTCCGCAGCAGGGAGGCCCTCAAAGACAATATTCATGCTATTTGTGGCAACAGGGATAGAGCTGGAAAGGATTATGCTAAGCGAGGTAAGTCAGAAGGAAACAAATATTGATGGTTTCACTTATATGAAGAGCATACAGAAACTGAACAGTGGGTTAGAAAAATGACAAAACTTGCAAGCTGACCATAGATCTGAGGCCTACAGCAGGGAGAACGAGGGGTCAAAATGGCACAGAAGAACATAAGAGACAGGGAAGATGGATCATGGGTGCGACGGTGTGAGAGGACTATGGGGACTACACCTGAGGGGACAAATCAAATATTGTTCAAAAACTGGGCCTCCCTGGTGGCACAGGGGTTAAAGTCTCAGTGCTATCAAATTATCACCAGCCACTGTGACATGAGTTCAATTCCCAGCCAGGGAGCTAACCCAGATGGTGTAGTAGACCTCTCCTGTCTTGCCTGCTACTGCCCTTAGCAGTGTATTTCAGTAGATTTGCCTGTTCTGCTCCCCACTCTGTCTCTGCTGAATCCTCTCACCTCCTGCACATCTGGCCTACACCCTAGCTATGTATAAATTAAAAAAACAAAAACAAATATTGTCCAAAAGCAATAATATAGGAAAATAAATAAAAGTAAAAATTTCCTTATATCAAAAAGTTGAACACAGATAAAACCAGCATCTACATCTTTTAAATTTTTTAAAAGATTTATTTATTTATGCATATAAGAACTGGGGTACAGGCCAGAGGTGTGGGGAGTGAGAGGATTCACTAGAGACAGTGTGGAACAGAACAGGCAGATTGACCAAAATACACTGCTGAGGGGAGCAGCAGGCGAGTCAGGAGAGGTCTTCTGTGCCATGTGGGTTACTCCCTGGCCAGAGATCGAATTCATGCTACAGTGGCTATGGACAGCTTCATAGTTTGTGTCTTAACCCCTTGGGTCACCAGGGAGGCCCTACATCCTTTACATTTTTAACATTTAACTCATTGCTACTTGAAGGGCTTGTGCTGCCTGACAGCTGTATAATATTTTGAGAAAATGAAAGTATTTAACGTTGAGAATCTAATTTTGCTTTCTCAATGAATCTGATTTCTTTTCTTACCAAGTTATGTAACAAATCTGTCATTCAATTAACTAGTAAGCTTTAATGAAATAATGGCACATTAACCATTTGCAAAGGAACTTCAGAACCTATGCTATATTCTTTAAAATATTCTCTAAGGCCTGTGAGAGTAAATTGCAAAACACCTCAGTCTCACAGATCCAAGTCTGAAATACCAAAGTAACATAACTGTCAAAAAAAAAGTTACAAATTAACGAGAATGACTTTCTTGGGTGTTCCAAAAACAATGTTAATCACTGGCATCACTGACAAAGCTTGGAAGTTTTACAAGTATCAGTCCAATCAAGAATGTGCCTTTTTCTGTCCTAGCCACAACTTTTTCTTTTTTCAAGATTTTTAATTTTTTTAAAAAAAGATTTATTTATTTATGCATACAAGAGCTGGGGTACAGGCCAGAGATGTGGTGGGTGAGAGGTATAGGGTAAGGAAATAAGTATCAGGCTTTTCTGCCCTCCCGCCATTAGAACAGATGACAGAACCCTGCAGTCCTGAATGCATGCCTGATGGGGGGGGCACCTGGAATAGCATGTGGGTATAGGTAGATGGGATTCACCTGGGCTAAGACTGGGTTTTTAAGGGCGGCGTCACGGGGATGCAAGCAGAAGCTGAGAAGCAGAACAGAAGCTGAGAGCAGAGAAGTGGAGAGAACGCCGGAGAGCCCAGAAAGAGTGAAGACTTGCTGGGGGCTGGGAGGCCTGCCAGCCTCGTGGCCCCCCAGCACCCTTGCCTGCTGTGTACTGGGTAAATCCCAATAAAAACCTGAAAAGCCACTGAGGGCTTGAGGACTCTGACTCCTCCTTTACCTGGTCTGCTGGATCATAGAAAAACTGCCCAGGGGCCTGTCCTGCCCCTACAAATGATTTACCAGAGTGGGGAACAGAACAGGCAGATTGACTGAAGTACACTGCTGAGGGGAGCAGCAGGTGAGCGAGTCAGGAGTGGTCTGCTGCGCCTGTGGGTTGCACCCTGGCCGGCCAGGAATCGAACTCGTGCTGTTCCGGATTGCTTCATAGTGCGGAGCCAGAGATGCAGGGGTTTAGAGGATTCATCAGAGACAGAGTGGGGATCAGAACAGGCAGATCCCCTGAAATATACTGCTGAGGGGAGCAGGAGGCAAGACAAGAGAGGTCTGCTGTGCCATGTGGGTTACCTGTCTGGCTGCGGATCAAACTCCTGCAGCAGTGGCTAGAGATAGTTTTATAGTGCTGTGCCACCAGGGAGGCCCCTAGTCACAACTCTTATGTCATTGTTTCACAGGAAAAGTCTTCAATCAAACTCAAGGTACACAAGAATTTATGCTAAAATTGGCACCAGGAATCAAACAAAAGGGAAAATTACTAAACACATAGTGACAGTAACACTGACTAGCTAAAAAAATGGAGATCCTTAATTTTCATTAGGGTATTCCTTAAATTTTTTTTTCAAGATTTATTTTATGTATGCATACAAGAACTGGGGTAGAAGACAGATGTATGCGGGTGGGGCGGGGGTGGGTGGGTGAGAAGATTCACCACAGAGTGGGGAGAAGAACAGGCAGGATGACTGAAATACACTGCTGAGGGGAGCAGCGGGCGAGACAGGAGAGGTCTCTTTGCAACATGTGGGTCAGCTCCCTGGCTGGGGATGGAACTCATGCTGCAGTGACTGCAGCTACCTTTATTGTGCTGAGACCAAACCCCTTGCGCCACCAGGGAGACCCATTCCTCAAATTTTAAACATGGAGTCTTCATAGGGGAAGAAAATTCACAATACTTATAAGTTAACTCAATATATTTTTATTTTAATATTTCTTATATTTGTAACAACATAAAAATAGCATACACTCTATAGTTATTGCCTACCAATAAAAGTCAAGGCATTTACAAACTGAAACCAAACCAACAAAATGCAATTAAAACTACCTTAGTTTATTTAATGTAACAAGTTGTACTATTTGGCTGAAAAGAAATAAGTAACAAGTATTTGGTTTAATAGCAAAAAGTTGCAGCTTTTTCTGAATGTTTTTTACCTTAGTAACACCTCTCGTTCACATTGGCATCATTTAAGCTGATACTGATAAATTTAAGTCTTTCTTTCAAATCAATCAGAATAGAAAATTAATCCAACTTATCAAATGCCAGTCCTCAAAAACCAATTTAAAAGCTGAGAATTGAGAAAAAGGTGACACATTGAGAAAATTAACAATTGCCTTTATTGAAACCTGTATTGACTATTGAATCCAATTAGCTTCAGAATCTGGAATAGAAGCATTCTTCATTATTGACTTACTAATACTTATTGCTAACAAATTATTGCCAATTACTCTGTACAATAGCCTCACAAAACCAATAGTATTGTTAGTGTACATCTTTTCTGTGTAAATATTTGACCCTCTCATGTCAAAAATCAAAATCTGGTGTATTATGTGTATAAAAGCATACCATTTTTCTCATTATCATGTAATCTGTGTTCTGCAGTTTCAACAGTTTTTTTCCTCCTCAAATCAGATTGTAATTTTGAATACTTAACACCATTGTTAATATGCGTGTCACTTTCTTCATGTTTACTAAGAATATGAGATAAATGCTGCCAATCTTTGCACCCATTCTCATTCTTCAGTTGATTTTTCCCTTGCCCAAAGAGTCTGCAATATAGACAAAACACAGAATCTTTTGAGGTTGAATAAAGCAACCAGCATCTAGTATATTTCTCACCATCTGGAAAAACTCGTGTATAATACGTTTCTGAAAATTTCCTCCCTGTATTGTCTTTTGGAAAGTCAAAATTTCTTACTTGAGGGAGATCATTTTCAACAAGTGTCTCTCGTTGTTTAATATTCAAAATCCGGGGCCATGTACCTGGATCTGCAGAAAGTTCAATGGGTATAATGGAATCTTCTGAGTTTTTCTCTTGCAATTTATCAGGTATAGTTAACACAGAAGGTAAACTCACATCCTGTTTTATCAGTGATATATCTTTGCTACATTCTACTGAAACCTGCAGCTCTGAAGTTTTTTCCTTTTTTTGAGGTATCCCCTCTATTTTTTCCAAGCATGTATTCAATGATAAACATGATTTTCTTCCATTTTCTTCTCTAACAGCATTTCTTTTTCTGTTTTCTGATGCTGGTAATTTTGACTTTGTTTCCATAATCTGGGGAGAAATAGATTACGATTGTATCTTAGAATTAACATTAAAAAATTAAAAGTATATACAATGCCCAATAAGAATATGAAGAGTGGCCTCCCTGGTGGTGCAAGGGGTTAAGACGCAACCTATGAAGCTATACGGAGCCACTGCAACACGAGTTCGATCCCTGGCCAGGGAGCTACTGACATGGCACAGCAGACTTCTCCTGACTTGCCCACTGCTCCCCTCAGCAGTGTATTTCAGTACATTTTCCTGTTCTGTTCCCCACTCTGTCTCTGGTGAATCCTCTCACCCTCCACACCTCTGGCCTGTACCCCAGTACTTGTATGCATAAATAAATCTTTAAAAAATGTCCACTACAGATGGGTAAAAGGTGATATTATCCATACAATGAAATATTCTTCAGCAATAAAAACAGTCAAAGATATATGCTATGATATGGATGAACCTTGAAAACAGTTATGTAACTTTCACACTAAAGGCAGTCACAACATATACTGTATTCCACTTAATAAAAAGACACATTACCTATTCTGGAGTCAATAAAAATGCAACGATAGATTCAAAATAACAAAAATATATACAGTGTGAATGGTATCCTGTTAATTGTAATATATGTGCACATGGTACAGCTTGAAACCATGGAGTTTAAGAAACTAAAAGCTTTGTTTTGGGCTGAAATGAAAAAAAAAGTGACATGATCAGACCTGTACTTGGGCAAGAGATAATGGTGGCTATCTCTAGGATTACAGGAGCAGATCTAGGACAGTTGACATAATTTGTATTATTAGTAATTAAATCCCTCTGGGGGCAAAGGGAAGAGTAAAAAATGACTACATTCTGCTGGACACCTGCCTGAATGGTATTGTCTTTTAATGATATGAAAATAAAGGAAAGTGGACTTGATGTTTGTTTTGGACAGTTTGAGCTACTTGTGAAACATTCAATGGAAACTGCAGATGGGCACAGTGGTCTGAAATTGAAGAAATACGTTGAAAGTCATCAAGTATGTATTAATTGAAACTATGGGATTGGGCAAGACTATACTGGAAGTGCATATAAAGAAACAAAAAGCCAAGAACTGCAATTAGTGTTATTTTTAACATGATCAAACTCAAACTTATTACTTTTTTGCCTGTTTCTTGTTAATGAATAAGTAGTCAAGTTGTTATAATTGTAATTTTCAATAAATGGGCAACTTCCTGACTATATGATCTTTCAAAGTAAAAAAAAAAAAATAGTAAAGCTTACATAAGCTTCCGTTTCCTGAATATAATATTACTTGCACTAACGAGCTTGTTTAGATGGCTGAGAAACATGTAAAGCTGTATCAGGCTCTATAACACATTAGCTGTTATTGGTGTATACTCTAACCAGGATACCTGCAATTATTTGACAAACTGAAAATGGTCTAATAACAAAGAGCCGTTGAAAAAAGTGTTTGCTCTAGCCACTCCTTGGTGCAAAGACTCATGGGTTTCTGACTTATACTCTAGGTTTCAAAGGTAAACTGCTTATGTCTTTATCGATGTCATTTAAGCACTCTCTCCAAAGACATTCATAAGAGATTGTCTGAAAATGAAGTTCAAATTTTAGTGCATATTACATTATACTAACATTTTTACTGATGATTGGATGAAAACCGAAGCCAAATACAAGGCAGGTACGGTAGGCATCCATCAAACCCTAAAACAAGAGGGAGAAAACCATGGGAAAGAAAGGTACCAAGATGGAGACATTAGGAACAGAATCTCACTTCACTCTCAGAAGTATCCCAGTTAGATTGCGAAATTGTCCCATATATATTAGGTTACTTATTCTGGAGATTACAGAATAAATCAGATAGACATTCTGGCCTCAGGGAATTTATTTTATTAGGGGATTAATAACATGCAGAATTAAATATTTGTATCAGAGGCAACAGACTAATAATCAAGGTTTCAGAAGTGAGGTCAAATGTAGCTGTATGACTTTGGGTAAGATTGTTTCTAGAACAATTGGTATCTTTTTTAAATTCTATTTTAAAAAAATTTTATTTATTTTTGTGTAGAACTGCGATGTAGGCCAGAGCTGTGGGTGGTGAGAGGACTCACTAGAGACAAAGTGGGAAGCAGAGTAGGCAGACCTGAAATACACTGCCAAAGGAGCAGTAGGGCAAGACAGGAGAAGTCTGCTGTGCCATATGTAGGCCATTTCTGTGGCCGGGGACAGAAGTCAGGCCAGAGAGGTGATAGCACTGCAACTCAACTCCTAGGTCACCGGAGAGGCTCCAGAAAATTGGTATCTTTAATGTATTTTAAGAAGACTTAATCAAAATTGAATATTTAATATAAAACAACCAGTTATACCTAGTAAATAAGAAACAGTGGTCCCATACCACAATCACCTCTTCCCCCTTTCCCAGTAGTCAGTCACTTTCAACATTTTTAGTTGATTCTTTTGGTATTACCAAGCAACATGTTTATACTGCTATTCACCAATTTTTCGTCCCAGGTTTAGGAAATCATCAACTAATTTTTTTTTTCTTAAAGATTTATTTAAAGCCTCCCTGGTGGAACAAGAGGTTAAGCACCGCACTGTGAAACAACCCGCACCCTCTGCAGCACGAGTTCAAATCCCTGGCCAGCCAGAGGGCAACCCACATGGTGAAGCAGACCTCTCATCTTGCCCGCTACTCCCCTCAGCAGTGTATTTCAGTCGGTCTGCCTGTTCTGTTCCCCACTCTGTCTCTGGTGAATCCTTTCACCCTCCACACCTCTGGCCTGTACCCCAGTTCTTTTATGCTTAAGGTGCAGGCCAGAGATGCGGAGGGTGAGAGGATTCACCAGAGACAGAGTGGGGACAGAACAGGCAGACCGACTAAAGTACACTGCTGAGGGAAGCAGCGGGAGAGCCAGGAGAGGCCTGCCGCACCATGTGGGTCATCTCCATCAAACTCGTGCTGCACTGGCTGCAGACAGCTTCACAGGTTGTGTCTTAACCCCTTGTGCCACCAGGGAGGCCCCTCTACTGATTTGTTAATGAGGAAGATGGAAATTTAGTTGTCTTCTCACTAGGCTTCCCACACAACATCCAGCTATTATTTATCTTTTGGTGATAGATTTTCTTTGCTGTGGGGGCTGTCCTGCACATTACAGGATGTTTTCAGCATACCTGGCCCCCATCCACTAGATGTCAGTAGTACTCCCCCAGTTGTAATAATGTTGAAATACACCACGGGTTAAACCATTGTGTTCGATCAATGTTTAGCTTTTACATTTTATGACTCTATATGCTATGCTAAGTCAGTTTTTCCTAAGGTCTTCATACACAGCAAAGCATCACTTAATAATAGACTATGTTTTGAGAAATGCATTGCTAGGATATCACTATTGAATAAACATCGAAGTATTTTTACACAAAGGTAGATAGTACGCTTTTTTCTAGGTGCCTACTACACACCTAGATTATAAGGTATGGCCTATTGTTTCTAGGCTACAAACCTATATAGCTGTAGGCAATTGTAATACAATGGTATTTGTGTATCTAAACATATCCAGGGTCTCCCTGGTAGTGCAAGGGTTTGTCTCAGCACTATGAAGCTATCGGCAGCCAGCAGACCTCTCCTGTCTAGCCTGCTGCTCCCCTCAACAGTGTATTTCAGGAGATCTGCCTGTTCTGCTTCCCACTCTATCTCTTGTGAATCCTCTCACCACCCCACACCTTCGGACTACACCCCAGCTCTTGTATGCATAAATAAATCTTTTTTTAAAAAAATAAACATATCTATACATAGGAAAAGTAAAGTAAATAAAACATAAAAGATAAAAGGTACACCTGTATAGTGTACTTACCGGGGAGCTTATAGTACTGAAGTAGTTCTGGATGAGTCAATGAGTGGTTAAGTGAATGGGAAGGTATAGCACATTATTGTATACTACCGTGGACTTTGTAAGTACTGTACACTTAGGTAATACTAAATCTATAAAAAATTTTTCTACAATAAATTAACCTTAGTTTATTATAATTTATAAACTTTAAAGTTTTTTATTTTGACTCAAACATTATTTAGCTGTACAAATTTTTCTTTGTATTCTTATTCTATAAACTTTTTTCTATTAAAACAACTTATTATTTTACTTTTTAAAAATGTTTTTGTGGGGGCTTCCCCAGCAGCGTAGCAAGTTGAGTGCAGCGCTGTGAAGCTGTCTGCAGCCTCTGCAGTGCAGGTTCGATTCCCTCCAGCCTGGAAGATTCCCACATGGTGCAGCAGACCTCTCCTGTCGTGCCCGCTGCTCCCCTCAGCAGTGTATTTCGGTCCTCTGCCTTTTCTGCTCCCTGCTGTGTCTCTGGTGAATCCTCTCCCCCTTCCACGCCTCTGGCCTGACCCCCAGCTCTTGTATAAAAATAAAATAAATCTTTAAAAAAGATAAAAAATTAAAGCAGCATTTTTGTTGAATACTAAGACATACATTAGCCTAGGGCTCTAGAAGGTTGAGATCATCATCATCTCTGTCTTGCACCTCCATATCTCATCCCACTGGAGGGTCTTCAGGAGTAGTAACGGGACTGCTGTCTCCTATGTAAACAATGTTTTTTTCTGGAATACATCCTGAAGGACCTGTCTGAGGTTTTTCTTGAGTTCTCTTCTGAAATATGCTCATGGTGGTTTGCTTGGCTTTTTTCCCCTCTCATAGATCAGCTTGTAAGCAGATAATGCACCATGAACATTCCTCTCTATTAATGAAAACCTCCTGGTGTTGATGGATTCATGCTTTCAAACTTTTTAAGGAGCTTGTTGAGGTCTGCAAAAGCTTCTACTAATCCAGTCACTGTGAATTTTCTTTGTGGTTCTTTTTCTTCTGCAGTTTCCTTTTCTCTCCCCTCTTCTTCAGCTATGCATTCTTGTTCCAGTTTCAACATCTCTTCATTACTCAGTTCCTCAGGAACTGCCTTTAGGAGGTCCTCAATGTCATCCTTATCCACACCCAGGTTAAAGTTGCTTGCCATCTCAGCCACAGCCTTGTTGATTTTTGCAACTTCTTCATCCTTGGCAAATTCTCTTATGTTATGAATGAACCTCTTCTCTTCAGGCAGTTGGCTTTAAAAGCTGCTATAACTCCTTGATCCATTGGTTGGATCAAAAAGGCAGTATTTGGTGGGAGAAACACCATTCTGATATTGGGATGAAGACCACCAATAAAAGGATGTCCGGGAGCATTATCAACAATAAGTAAAATCTTGAAAGGTAGATAATTTTTCAAACAATACTTCTCCAATTCGCAGGCACAGCAATTCAGGAGTGCATCTTGAAAGAGTAGCTGTGTCATCCATTACTTCTAAATGCTAAGGTAGTGTACTGGCAGAGTGGGCTTACTGATATGCTTGAAGGCTTTGGCATTCTCACTGTGCCAGATCACAAAGGGTTTTAATTTGTAGCCTACAACATTGCCTCCGAGCAAGACTGTTATCCCATCTTTAAAAGACTTGAAACCTTGTACTGACTTGGCCTCCTTATGGATGAAGGTCCTTCTAGGCCTCTGTTTCCAGAATAGGGAGGTTTCATTCAATTCGAATATTTGCTCTGGTAAGTAACTTTCCTCCACATATATCTAGCACATTCAAAAAAATTTCAGCTGCCTTTGTAAGATCACTTGTAGACTCTCCACTAACTTTCACATTATGTAATGAGTAACGATTCTTGAAACCTTTAAACCACCCAGAGCTAGCAATAAATTCAACATTGTAGCCTTTTCTTTCAACATTGCCAATAAACTCTTTGCTATCATGGTGCTGAGCAGAATACATTTTTGTGTCTTGTCTTCAATCCAGGTCATTAGAAGTTTCTTCATATCAGATATAGGCCTTTCTCGAACTTTTGTAAGTCTTGTTGCTTTCAATGAAGCAGATCCTTTAACAGCATCTGTGACTTTGTTCTTGTTCAAGATTGTAGCTATGGTGGAATGGGACATGCCTGACTGGAGAGCAATACCTGTCACTGATTTTCCACTTTCATAGTCCTTAATCACTTTTAATTTTGTTTCTAGGTCAATCACTCGACGTGGTCTCTTACTGGAAAAATTAGTTGTGGATTTTGTATGTTGAGGGGCCTTGATGAACAAAACAACATGAGATTAAATCAAGCACAACAGAAAATGATGCAATCAAGATGTGGTAAACATACGATGTATGAGGCAGCTGCCAGTGTAATATCCTATATTATGTCCTTAGGCAACAGGACTACTGTTATATACGCAGTCTACATGACATTATGCAGCTTTCTATTGTGAGATAGCCTGCCACTAATTACTTAAAAATATTCATGTAGTGATGGGGAGCACATTTATAAAACTTCTATGTTATACAGAAATAGCATCCCTATATTTGCCAACTATTATGAGCTATTTTGCATTACTGATACATGTATAGTAGAATGAATAGACATCCTTCAGGGGATTACAGGGGCAGACATGAGAGTTATTCCAAAAAATTTGGCTATCTGGTTACTGTCTCTTTTGACTGCATATTTTCCCATTTCTATCTCTGGTGTTCATTTAGGAGTAAAAAAAATTATAACCTGTGTACAACCCTTATGTTCTTTAGAGGAAAAGTGCAGTTTATGAGCTCATTGCCCTTAGCAAAATCTGAAGGTGTAAGCAAATATAATTAAAAAATGGATTAAAAAAAAGCTGAACAATTTTAAGACTTAACGTAGTTGTTTATTAATGAATCAGAGGTTCAGTAGGTTATTTTTGCCATTTATCTTTCGGAAAAGATAATCTATTCTAAGTTGTTTTGCATATTCTTTGTTCATTGTGCTTTTCTATAAGCCACATCTGAAAATTTTGTTAAATATGAGGTGCAGCATAAATAGAGGCAATAATAAAGATAAACCTAGATGTTCAGGGCTACTTTCCCCTAAAAGTCAACCACTTAAATAATTATCTAATAAAATGGTGATCAAGAATGTTTCTGGTTTTCCATTTATGATTCACCTCAAATTAAATTTTGCGTATATAATAGAATGGAGTCAAGTCTCTTTCTTTATTCCATATAAACAAAAGTTTTCCCAGTACCATCTATTAAAAAGATCTTATTTTACCCATCAAAATGATTGATGCCTTTTGCTAAAATCAATTGGCGATATATGTGGTTCTATTTCTGAACTATTTCATTGATCTTTCTATGCCAATACCAAACAACCTTGATTATAATAGCTTTTTTTTTTTAAAGATTTATACAAGCACTGGGTACAGTCAGAAGCGCGGGAGGGTGAGAGAATTCACCAGAGCCAGAGCGGGGAGCAGAGCAGGCAGAAGGACCAAAGTACACTGCTGAGGGGAGCAGCGGGCGGCAGGAGAGGTCTGCGCGCCATGCGGGACCCTCCTCTGGTGGCCAGGGAGTAGCTGGGGATTGAACCGGCACCGCAGAGGCTGCAGGCAGCTTCGCAACCCAGTGCTCAACTGCTGCGCCACCCGGGAGGCCCCTATAATAGCTTTTTAAAGTCTTTTTTTTTTTTCAGCTTTATTGAGACATAATTGATAAATTAAAATTGTACATATTTAGAGTACAAGGTGATGTTTTGAGGTTTTTAATGTCTTGAAATCAGGTGACTCTTTACTTCACACCATACACAAAACTAGTTTGAGAGAGATCACAAATATAAACATAAAATCTAAAATTAAAAAGCTTCTGAAATTAAAGATGTGCAAACATGTTCAGAACTTTGGTAGGCAAAGAGTCTTTAAACAAGACACAAAAAGCATTAAACAAAAAAGCAAACAGTAAGTTGGACTTAATCAACATTTAAAACCTAAGCTTCTTCAAAACAACAGTAAGAAAATGAAAAGACAAAACAGAGTCCAGGAGAACATCTTCCAAATACATTTATTTTATGGAAGATATTTATCCAGAACATAAAAAGAAAAAGAAATCCTACAGCTCAATAATGGAAAGCCAAAAAAAAAAAAAAAAAAGCTTAACTGAATAAGCACTTTAAAATTAAAGATAAATGAGTAATGAAAAAATAATGTTATCAAAGAAATGCAAATTAAGGGCCTCCCTGGTGGCACAAGGGGTTAAGAGGTAATCTATGAAGCTATCTGCAGCCACTGCAGCATGAATTTGATCCCCAGCCAGGGAGCTACCCATACGGTGCAGCAGACCTCTCCTGACTTGTCCACTGCTCCCTTCAGCAGTGTATTTCAGTCAATCTGCCTGTTCTGTTCCCCATTCTGTCTCTGGTGAATCCTCTCACCCCCCACACCTTTGGCCAGTACCCCGGTTCTTGTATGAATAAATCTTTAAAAAAAAAGAAATGCAAATTAAAATCACAGTGAGGTAATCATTTCAAATCCATTACCCTAGTTTAAATCAAAACTGACAAATTTTGGTGAGAATATGGAGTTAATTGAAGTATGAAGTCTGTGGAAGTATGAAATGGTAGAGAAAAGATTTACTCATCAATGAATGTCTGTAAATAGTAAAAACAAACATATAACAATAAATTGATTTCAATACTCATTTGAGCTGGGACAACTCAGTAAAATAAAATGACAGAAACAGAACTAAATGAGATTCTAAGATAAATCTGGTTAATGTAATAAAAGAGTGAAAAGCTACAGTAAACTTAATCATTTAAAACTCACTAAGAAAAATTACCTGTTTATATTCATTAACACAACTTTGGCAGCAAAATCTTGTCTGCTGACCTTCAATTATCAGGACATTGTTTCCAGCACTTTTACTGGGTAAGTACTCTCCACACTGTTCACAGCAATTCATTATAAGACCATTGGCTAACCTGTACTTATTAAAGCACTGGTTACTGCACAGTTTATGTGTTACATTATTAACGCTGACTTCATGGCGAATCTAAAAGAAAAACAACCAAAAAACAAGGACCCATTATTAAAAATACAAGCCAGATAAGTATAGCAATGAGTTCTTCTACAGAAACCAAGAACCTCTAGTAGTTTCTCAATAGAATATTCAAGGAAAATATTAAAAAAGCACACTTTGTTATCCTATCATTTTACCTTTGATTTCTTTGTAAAATCACTGACTTTACAAAAAAAAAAAAAACCTCAGAACAGAAAGTACTAACATCCCTAGAAACATTTAAGAATTACAGAAAATGAACTTGTTTGAAAGATTTTGATATGACCCATTGAAAAGAAGTACTGGATTGCAAATTCTTAATTTTTAAACTAGAAAATTAGTGGAAGGGGCTAAAGGAATAAATATTACCCATATTCAGGATAATATATTTGGCGTATCCATATGTAAGTTGGTTCTTGCTTTGCTCAGTTCTCCAGTAACAGTTAAAATCATGCATGGCTCTAGAGTAAGCAATATCAAATTCAGTTACCACTGACTGTTAAATGAGGACTGCCTATATACAGGGGTTTTTTTTTTTGAGATACTGGAAAGCATCTTTTTTGATATATTGAAAGCAGCAGTTTTCAATATACTTTCATTCCACTTGTTCTACAAGTTCTTGTACTAAAATCAGTTGCTTCTTTTCAGGTCCTAAGACTACACTTAGTGTTGCTAGCAAAAACAAAATCCAGCATAATGCTTTGTTTATAAGTACATCCAACCCTACAGAAATAGATGTGTACTTTTACATATGCATTCTTCTCTTTAACTTCATTGTGTAGATTATATGAATGTAGTCATAGACAGCAGTGGCTATAAAAGGACTTAAATAATTTTAGTAAGATATAAAAATCCAGACCTCTGTTAGTTTGCTACAGATTGTACATCTTGATTTATTTAGGACTCTTTTTCTGAGATTCTGATTGCCTTCATAGGGAGACAAACAAGATACACTAGAAAATTCTTGGAAGGGTTCGTTGAATTCCACTTGAGGAACAATAGTACCCTTTTTGGTGGGTGCATCTCTGAAACACAAGAGATAGACAAACAACTTAAGAACAAGGTATTTTAATAAAACTCAAATATATAAATCATGAACACTATTTTTTTTCAGCTTTTAATTCTAGGTATCAATTATTATTTTATAAGCTTTATGATAAGCTTTGGATCTAGCAAAATCTGCTGTTTGGTTTCATTCTCAAGAGTTTCTAAATAATTTGGTAAGAGATTTGGAGGTTAAACTATTTTGAAGCACAAGAACTTTGCCACAGGTTCTTAGGATTCTTAGAAACATTCAAAAAGGAGCCTCCCGGGTGGCGCAAGGGGTTAAGTGTCAGAACTATGAAGCAATCCCCAGCTACACACACAAGTTCAATCCCCAGCCAGGGTGTTAACCCACATGGCGCAGCAGACCTCTCCTGTCTCACCCGCTGCTCCCCTCAGCAGTCTATTTTAGTCAACCTGCCTGTTCTGCTCTCCACTCTGTCTCTGGTGGATCCTCTCACCCCCTGCACCTCTGGCCTGTACCCCAGTTCTTGTATGCATAAATAAAAATAAATCTTTAAAAAAAAAAAAAAAAGGAAACATTCAAAAAGTCTGCTAGCAACTTCTCAGAATGAAGGTAGAAGAGGGGGAAGGGAGCCAGGTAAAGGCTGTAGCAGGGTAAGGATCATTTTATTTCTATACCTATCTTCCATTTTTCTGCCAAAAGACCAGTACAAATGAATGCACAGTTGTGATTTACTCTAGGATAACTCAATCTCAAAAAGTTGAAGACACTACTTCAGTAATTCTTCCTATCAATCTCACAGTTCTCTGATTACATTTAGAAGATACATTTTTACTGCCCAGTATTCAACTACATGGAGTCATGTTGAAAGGTACAGCTTACTTTTTACATATTACATTTTGTTTCTTTGGAGTACGCTTATGAGAGAAGGAAGAAAGGCAGGTAGTAGAACAAAAGAGGTGAACTGATCCTTTTCGTTGATAAGCTGTTTGTCCCTTCTGTAAAGGTTTTTTGCAGTGTGCACAAGTGATTTTAGCTGTTTTATTAAGTCGCTGTTGGGTAGAAGGCTCGAAAATCTGTTTAGGAAGGGAGGCCACAGGTGATAAAGAATCCACCCTTGGTTGTTTCTGATTACGGGGAAATGATGCTGACTGGGAGATCCAAGAATCTTAAAAATAAACACAAGAAAAAGTCATGTAACAATTCAAAATTCACATTAGAAAAATATTTAAAATTTTCATTTTGCACAAATTTAAGAGACATGTAAGGCAGCTATATAAGCATGTGGTTAAGGCCAGGAAGACCCAGGGGAACTATCTGTATTCTAAGTGACTAGTACACTATCATGCCAAAATGTAAATAAATGGAGGCCCTGCCCTGTTGTGCAGTGCTATTGTCATTAGTTCTTAAGTCAGACTCCTCATGTTCAAAATGCGTTTCCTGAACTTACTAGATTGTACGAGAATAGTATGTCTTGGTTTTCTCATCGATAAACTGGCAATGACACCAAACCTATCAGAGTGTAATGAAGACTACATGAGATACTGTCTGGTATACAGGGCATCTGCAAAGAACATTAGCCATTTTTTTTCCTTCTCTAAGAACACAGATGCAAATACAAAGATAATTATAGAATCTGGACTATACATCCATTTTCATAACAATCCAATTTCATAATCTGTTTTCCCTTGACATTTTATTATGAAAAACGTCAAGCATGTAGAGAAGTTTAATTTTACAGCTAATACCACCTATGTATACAACAAGTGTTTCACTATTTTACTATTTTTACTTTGTCTTCTCTTTTATTTACTCACCCCTTTAAACAATTCTTTTTTACGTATTTTAAGTAAATTGTAGACATACATTTTGAAATATACATAATCTAGATATCCTATTTTAAATCATTTTAACTCTACAGTTATTTCCCAGTCTTCTAATGTATTATTTCACAATAATCAATGTACATGGTGATTACTCAGTAAAGACTCAATCTGCCTTAATTCATGAACCCCTCTATCATATATTGTTAGTTTTAAAATGGCACATTATGGATAGATAATAGTGTTCTCAAATTTAACATGCATGGTATCACTTGAGAATTTTGTTTAAGATAGAGATTCTAAATCAGTAGGTCTAGGGAGGGAGCTGAAATTCTGCATTTCTAAATAACTCCTGTGTGATGGTGAAACTGAGAAATAAGGCCATGGAGTAGTGAATTATTCTATACTCTCTCTTTATCAACAGGTTTTATCATTGGTAAGAGGCCCATGACTCTAGGGTTAATAAAATTAGACAGCTTCCACTATGTTACATAAAGAGTGAAAAATAGCAACAACAAAAAGAATTTCTTTTGGGCAAGAGACTTAACCTTTAAAAAAGCTTCAAACATTTTAACCTGACAAGTTGGCGAACATTCTTTTAAGAATTCTAGATTAAGTGTTATAATTTAAAAGACATACTTCTGTAATATTTGTCTCCCAAAACAGAACTTTAGAGAGCTCAGGAACACTGTAAATGTAGCCAAACTTAATTGAAATTACTACCATGTATCATTAACAAAATAGCTTAAATGTAGTTAAGAACCTCTGTTTCATATGGGTGTCAAATTAGTTAATATAGTACTTTTTGTCTTTCTATTATTTTAAAATTATTGATATCTCGTATGGGAAAATATAATAGAAATACAAATTAGTTTTGAATTAATGATAACAGGATGAGAATAAAAATAAATTCAAGCATTATCACATCTGCTTTCAATGTCTGCAAGTCTCAATTATGCCCACAATTTTAGTAGAATGATTGTATAGCACCTAATTACAGTATGCCTTTTTTATAGTTAGGTATCAGTATAAGCAATGCTTTTCAATTGAAAAACACTTTATCCACATTCACCATTAAATACACAAAGAAGGTGAAAAATACTCATTAAAACTTATTTACAGTTGTCAAGACTAGACACAAACTCAATATGGTTATAAAATGAATTATAAACATAAAAATCAAAAGCTGAATTGTCATATCTGCCTCTGGTTATTGACAGCTTCCTCAAGTATCAATATTTAGAATATCTGTATAAGTGAGAGATTAATATTTTTGAAATAATCGAAGCAAAATGTTACCAAATTATACAAAGTAAGACTCATTGAAAGACCAATGAGTTTTTAATGCAATAGAGTATGAAATGTTCATTACATAGTTTCAGATAAATACCACTTATTAAATTCTGGTGCTAGCCAAAAAACTATCCATAATTATCTAAAAATCTATTGAAATAGCGCTCTCTTCTACACCCACATTTATGAATGTGGTCAGATTTTCTTATACTTCAACTGAAATAGCACATTGCCAAAACTTTTAATGAAAATATATATACTTTGCTGTCTTTTATTAATACATATTGTAAAGAGATTTGCAAAATGTAAATATCTTTGGGGTCCTCAGTTTTAATAGGGAAACTGAGACCAAAGTGTTTGAGAACTGTATGATGAAAATAATATACAATATAAAGATTTTAGTATAGAGTCTCAAAACTAATAAGAGGGAAAACCATATACTTTAAAAAAGTAAATAAATATGTACTTAGACAAAGGAGTATGTTATAGCCTCCAAAGTTTCCATTTTTAAAATGACTCAAACAGAATTTATCAGTGGTCACTCCTAGGTAGTGAGGTAAAGTGATGGACATTTCTTCTTATTTCTAACTGATTTTTTCCAAATATTCTGCAATAGTCATGTAGTGTTCTCATAAAAAGAAAAAAGGTTAATTAAAAAAAAAAAATACTAGCTGGTTCCCTTAAAGCAGTTAATAGTGATCACACTCTTAGTTCCAATAACTTTGCTTTCTCAACATTCTAAGTTGGTTTAAAATGTTCAAACCCCCCCCCCCCCCCCCGCCCATGACCCCAAAAGTAAACACCTGAGCGCGTGTGTTTACTCTGCCTGCTTGTGACTATGCAGGTGCCTCTTTTTCTCTTTTTCCTAATAAATCTGTCCTTTTAAAATGTAACTTAAGGGCCTCCCCGGTGGCGCAGTAGGTGAGTGCTGGGCTGCGAAGCTGCCCGCAGCCTCTGCAGTGCTGGCTCAATCCCCAGCCCACATGGCAAGCAGACCTCTCCTGCCGCGCCCACTGCTCCCCTCAGCAGTGTACCGCTCCCCACTCTGGCTCTGATGAATTCTCTCACCCTCCCATGCTTCTGACTGTACCCAGTGCTTGCATAAATAATCTTTAAAAAAAAAAAACAAAACTTAAAAAAGTAAACAGCTGAACAGCAAAAATTTTCAATTCAAGTTACATAATTAAAAATTAAAGGTTAAAAAAAATTAAATAAAAATGAATTAGTATGTACTTTGTTCCTTCAGTTTATAATCCATCTTTTTACATTCAAATAAACACACTAGTCAACGGTGATATTAATTATGGAGGTTTTTAATTAAAAACACTTCATATGTAAATCACATAAGACACTAAGTTTTTGAAATTTCAGAGACTAGTGAACTACATAGTTTTATTAAGTAAAATACTGTAACAGTGTGAGAATTCCATACATAGGATGTAAACAAAGCAGACATAGATACTAGAAATAACAGTCAAAAGTTTACTTACTCGAGAGGGAAAATACCTAATATTATTTACTGCTTACCAGGACTATGATGAGCTGAAAATCCTCCATTCTGAATTACATCTTCTGACATACTCATTCTACCAGGATTAAAAGGTTCTACTCCAGTCTTGGTCTGTGAAGTTAAAGATGGGGTGTATGTTTGTATATTAACACCAAAATTACTTGACTGAAGTCCTTTAGTGATATCTCCCAAGTTGGTATTCTATAGTGATAATCATTAAGTTCACATCTCACTCAGCATTCAGAGCTTATAACTGTTTCTAAAGTTGGAAAATTAGTAAAATGAATTTCAGAGTCAATTCTGTAGTGATAACACTATTACCCATTTCTGCATTTACCTTACTTCTTGAAAGACTGGTAGTGGAGAAATCCCAATCTTTGGTTTTATTTTTAGTTCCAGGAAGTCCCCATTCAATAAAACCAGAAGAATATTTATTCACACCATTTGTTTCTATGTCTTCATCATCAATAACTATTGTCTCACTTATATTTCCTTTCTTAGAAGCCAAATCTCTTGAAGATGGAAATATTATGGAATAACTTCCTTGTAGTTTTTCATTTTTTGATGATGTAAAGTTTCTTTGATCAGCTACTGCTGGAGCAGAAGTTGAAGGAGGTTGTATAGATTCAATAAATACAACATCATCATCCTCATCCTCTTCTAAAGATGAGTTTCTAGATGTACTGACTAAAGAACTTGTTGGGTCACCAAGTGAATTTCCTACATCCATGAGACTACTCCCTAATGAAAAAGGAGTGTGTTCAGTCAATTCTAATGCTCCCACTGAACATTTATCCATGCCAAAGAACCTGTAAGAAACAGAAAAGAAGAAAGTTCTATTATTATTGCATTTTACTATAACGAAATTAATACAACTGAAATTTAAAATTCTTTGCAATTTTATTTAATTTTAGGGGAAAAGAATTGCCAAACATTCTGTCATTACTTTTCCATTAACCATCTAATGCCTACTTCTTCAGAGTTTGATGGAAATTGATTACCCAATTTTTGGTGGTTATTTTAAAAAATTTACTCAACTTATAGTGTCAATCTATTCTATTCACCCTTTATAATGAAAAAATAAGTCATTCTTTGAAATAGAAAAACAAAGTAATTCTATTGGTATTAGTAACCAAGTAGGCAAATACAGTAATTATGCCCTATATATATATATTTTAAAAGATTTATGTATTTATGCATACAAGAGCTGGTGGGGGGTGTAGGGCAAAGGTGGGGATGAAATTGAGAGGATTCTCCAGAGACAGAGTGGGGAGCAGAACAGGCAAAATGACTGAGATACACGGCTGAGGAGAGCAGTAGGTAAGGCATATGTGCATTGGCTCCCTGGCCCAGGATAGAACTCTTGTTGCAGTGGTTGGGGATAGCTTCATACCGCTGAGACTTAACCCCCTGCACCACCAAGGAGACCCCTATATTTTTTATCTACTGAAGTATACATAATAACAATTACTATGCCCCCAGTGTCTTTTGTCATTGTTTTTCAAATTCTCTAATTTCAACATAACTATGTTACTAAATCTTTCTGAATGTTTCATGTCCCTGTCCAGGACTTGCCAGACATATAGGTTTGCCTGCAAAATCATGAAAACAATCTAATTGGGGAGGTGTAACAATTTAACTCATTTTATAGATCAGGAAAAAGAAGCTAAGTAAAATACTCGAGATAAGCCCAAACAGGACTAAAACTCAGTGCTCTAAGACTAAGCCCTCAAACTCGTAACATTTTTGTGTACCTACTATCAGTAGGGTATGACAAAAGAAAGGATCCTGCAGAGAGACATAATTGAAAAATCTGAAGTGAATAGTCACTAGAGCAAGGCTCTTAAAAAGCTGAGAGAAGATATGTGCACAGGTGGCAGTAAAACTAATCATGAATAAGAAATCACCTCTATCTCAAAGGTAAAAGGGGTACAACTGGAATGTTTATAAGTATATAGAATGACAAGATAAAAAGCTGAGGTAAGTTTATACATGTTGGACTCCACTTTTTTGTTTGGAAACTCAAGAGAGTGAAGGATGTGGGAATTATATGCGTTTTGAATGATTAAGAAAACTCACTTGTGTTTTAAACATCTCGTGTTGAGGGCCTCTCTAGTGGTGCAAAGAGTTAAGTCTCAACACTATGAAGCTATCTACAGCCACTGCAGCATGTGTTCATCCCAGCCAGTGAGCTGACCCACATGGTGTAGCAGACCTCTTCTGTCTCACCCGCTGTTCTCCTCAACAGTGTATTTCAGTCAATCCAACTGTTCTGCTTCCCACTCTATCTCTGGTGAATCCTCTTACCCCCCCACACCTCTGACCTGCACCTCAGCTCTTGTATGCATAAATAAATAAATTTTTAAAAAAAACCTCATGTTAAATAGTCTAAATTTTTTTTAAATGATGTTAAAATAAAATAAATAATATTGCTCTAAAAAATCTCATGTTGAAATGTTAAATAACATTTCTATTGTAAAAATTTCAATTTTAAATAATTGTTATAGTCATGTAATAGATAATATAGATGCTATGTCATTAAATATATAAACTCACTTAATGCTAACTTAAGTGAGGTAGGAACTATTATTTTCCCCATGCTATCAATTAGGAAACTAAGATTTATAAGACATATATATTCCAAGTACTCCTAAACTTGCCCAAGTTTCCAGTGATAAAAAGGGTAGAGTGAGGATTCAAATCCAAGAAATGTGACTCTAGAATCTATTTCAAAACCATTACATTATAAGCAATTAACTCATAAAACAATTTTTAAAAATTAGTTGTATTTTGTTAATATAAACAAATTCATTAAAACAAAATCAACATTTATAAAATCTATTTGAAAGATAAAGAAATAACAAACACAATGACTAGGTCAGAACACAAGCACAGGGCCTCCCCGGTGGCACAGAAGCTGCCTACAGCCTCTGTGCGCCGGTTCAATCCCCGCCCGCCGGTGAGTGTCCCATATGGCGCCACAGACCTCTACTGCCCCGCATGCTGCTCCCCTCAGCAGTGTATTTCGTGGGTCTGCCTGTTCTGTTCCCCGCTCTGGCTCTGGTGAATTCTTTCACCCTCCCGTGCTTCTGATTGTACCCAGTGCTTGTATAAATAAATAAATACATCTCCAAAAACAAAAACAAAAACCTTTCTTTAAAAAAAAAAAGAACATAAGCACAGAAATTGGGATCATGGTTTACACCTATCAATTAAGCTTAGTATGAGGATGAATTTCCAAGGAAAGAGGCAACATTTCAAATCTAAATAAACTGAATTGTGATATATAAGTGCTGTTAACACATAAATTCTCTCAGTCATTTCTATATTTGAAAAAAACCAAAGCAGATAAGACCAATTTCTCAAAAGGAGTTATGGCTGATTCCAAAATATCCTCTGATGGTGCTAGGTCCTATCATATACTTCTAAAAAAAAAAAAAAAATTAATAGAGCATTATTTATTCTTTTTTTTTTTTTTTTTTTTTTTATAGAGGCATGCTTTATTTATTTGTTTGCTAGTTTGTTTGTTTGTTTTTTGTTTATACATGCACTGGGTACAGTCAGAAGCGCGGGAGGGTGAGAGAATTCACCAGAGCCAGAGCGGGGAGCAGAGCAGGCAGAAGGACCGAAGTACACTGCTGAGGGGAGCAGCGGGCGGCAGGAGAGCTCTGCGCGCCATGTGGGACCCTCCTCCGGTGGCCGGGGAGCAGCCGGGGATCGAACCGGTGCTGCAGAGGCCGCGCGCAGCTTCGCAACCCAGCGCTCAACCGCTGCGCCACCGGGGAGGCCCGAGCATTATTTATTCTTAACGCATTTGAAGTTATCCACTGAAGAAAGATTAAACATACTTTCTTAATTCCATAAGCACAGTACCATAGAAAGTTTACTATTTCTGCAATATTATACAAAAATAGAGAAAAAAACTACAATTTAGCTAATTGTGTGTGCAAATTACATCACTTCATTAAATTTTTGTTTTCTAAACTAGAACGGTAAATGGAGATAATATACAACTGAGGTTTTTTAATTGAAATAACTGGACATGAAAGTCCCAAGTCCCTCTCTGGATGATATTAAAATAGAGAGAAAAAATGTTAAAATCCTCTCCTTCCATGAGGAGGTAGTCAGGCAAATAATTTGCCTATATACTATGATTTTAAACAAGTGTTCCAGGATTAAACATTTATCTAGTCATCCTGTGGTATCTTATTCATCTATAAATTGTAACTAGTGTTTAACTGATTTTCATTTTGTTACAATGAAAATTAATAGAAAAATAATGTAGAATCAAAGGAAAATCTACACAAAGAAGGTAGATCAAAACTGTATTACCGGGGCCTCCCCGGTGGCGCAGCGGTTGAGCGCTGGGTTGCGAAGCTGCCCGCAGCCTCTGCAGCGCCGGTTCGATCCCCGGCTGCTCCCCGGCCACTGGAGGAGGGTCCCACATGGCGCGCAGACCTCTCCTGCTGCCCGCTGCTCCCCTCAGCACTGTACTTCGGTCCTTCTGCCTGTTCTGCTCCCCGCTCTGGCTCTGGTGAATTCTCTCACCCTCCCGCGCTTCTGACTGTACCCAGTGCATGTATAAACAAAACAAACAAACAAATAAATAATAAATAAAATAAAACATGCCTCTATAAAAAAAAAACCAAAAAAAAAAAAAAACCAAAAACTGTATTACCACCATAAAAAACGTTAGGCTAAAAACCAAACAAGACTCTCACTGCAAACTATCTCTAGGTTATAGATAACCACCCTACAAAGTTAATATAGCATTTAATTAGGGGTGAAGAAGTATCAACCCTAAATGACATAAATAAAGGTACTTTGCCCTATTCTATTTAGCTTTCCAATGGTAGACAACTTCTAGTACCATAACCGTGTGTTATTTTTCCCTGATGTTTAACATTTATCTTTTTAAAAATTGTGGTAAAGTACACGTTTTATATACATAAAACTTGCCAAATTTTACTATTTCAAGTGTAGTTTAGTGTCACAGTTTTTATTTATTTCAGAATTAGTTTTATTTATTTATGCATACTTGTATGCATATGGGGTGTAGGCCAGAGGTGGGGGGGTAATGGGGGGGAGAGATGTGTGAGAGCATTCACCAGAGACAGAGTGGGGAGCAGAAGAAGCAGATATACTGAAATACACTGCTGAGGGGAGCAATGGGGGAGATAGGAAAGTTCTGCTAAGCCAAGTAGGTTGGTTCCCTGGTGGGGATTGAACTCATGTTGCAGTGGTTGGTGATAGATTGATAGCACTGAGACCTTAACCCCTATGCCACCAGGGAGTCCCCTTCTGCCTTTAGTTTTTAAAAGCTGCAAAAAATACTGAATTCTTAGGTTGTAATAGTATCATAAATTTTCTTGAAATTATCTTTAATTAAAGAATTAGTTAAAAACATCAGTTGAATAATTTAGTAGCCATTCAACATTCATTATGTCAATCTACAATTAAGCAGAATTCACAATTAAAAAAATCATTAAAAAAATTAAAGTAAAATAGAAATACTGAGATGTTAATGACAAAATTAGCATGTGATGAGAAAAATGAATTAATCTTCTTATGAACCTAGAAATTAAAATTAGTTTAAAGCATTTAAACCACTAAGCTAGCTTCATGCTTAATGGTATATACTTTACACATTTCTGTCTAAAGTCAGAAATAATATAAAGGTGGACCATTCTGTAGGTACCAACAAAAGTAATGATGGGACAGAAAAGAATTAAACAAACAACTACCACAAATAGCAAGAGAGTTATTGCAGTGCCTAAGTACAAAATTAATGTCTAGAAACCACCAGCCTGTTAGGGATTAAGTTGGTAGACTGATTGATCACGCAACTCAGCTCACTCCCTTCTAAACTCCATAAACAATAGTTATTTTCTTTTTTTTTAAAGTTCTTACTTTCAACGAATGAAGATTAAGAAACAAACTTCTGTAAGCTGAAAAGCAGATGGACTAGTAGTCAACTAAGCCAAGCTGAGATAGTCCAACCCTAAAACATTGATGTAAAAATATAAAAATCATCTTGGTTTACACTGTAGGAGCATCAAAAAGTTCTGTCACCTGTAGAACTAGATATTCCTAGGTAGGGGATGGGTGGCTAAAATACCAAGGTTGAGAGATCCTGGGTCTCCTTCCTTCCCTCATGATGACAGATCTTTCCCCACGCTAGCACATGTTCTAGACTTTTACTCTTTGTAGAAAATAGAATATAAGATCTTTGCCTTGGGTACACTATGCATGAATGAAAGTTTTAATATTACACATATGAAATATCCCCTCTCCCTCTTGATTGCCAGTAAGTTTGCCTCCAGACCTCAATATTCCGGACAGCTAATGTTTCCCTGGAAAATTTCTTTTTCAGAAATTGCTTACTGTGGAATAGGAAAAGGAAAGACGTAAAGATAATTAATCACAGTACAATTCTTGAACAAAAGAATCATAACATGATGCTCCAAGGGAAAATCCCCATTCTCATTCTTCCAATCTGCTTTCTAGTTCGTGATTTTTAATATTGAGTAGGCCTGTCAAGAATTACGAAATAGCTGAGGAAAGCTTCTTACAAGAACATAAAGAGAAAAAAAAGGAAGGAAAGAGATAATGCAGGAAAAAGAAAATGTAAAATAAAAGTCCACAAAACTATCACTATTCTAGATGGACTAGTGACATGCAAAGGACTATAACATATTAACATTGCTAATATGAAAAGGAATTTCCAGAAATTAAAAGATAAGCACAGGGGCCTCCCTGGTGGTGCAATGGGTTTAGACACAGCACTATGAAGCAGTCTGCAGCTACTGCAGCACAAGTTCAATCCTTGGCCAGGTAGGTGACCCACATGGTACAGCAGGCCTCTCCTGTCTCACCTGCTGCTCTCCTCAGCAGTGTATTTCAGTAGATCTGCATGTTCTGCTCCTCACTCTGTCTCTGGTGAATCCTCTCACCCCCCACAACTCTGGCCTGCACCCCAGTTCTTGTATGTATAAATAAATAAATCTTAAAAAAAAAAAGGATAAGCACAAATGGAAAACTCAACAAAAACCGTTGAAAGATAAAACAGAAAACCTCAGGAATTAAGGCAACAACAAAAGGAATTAAAGCTACCAAAGATGATGTATGTGTGTGTCCCATAAATTATGAGGCAGGCACTTATTTTTGTATTTATGTCAATCTATTTAATACTTATTTGATGTCACTCTTGGGAAGAGAGACATAATTTACTACTTTATAAACTTTGCATATAAAGGTTCATTTAACTGAAGAGGATGTGTTTACAAATGTTGATAATCAAGATTCATTTACTGAACTTAATTTTTTGCACTTTTTTTGCACTTGGTAAATTGAGAGAGCAGAGATTTGAACCCCAGTCTTATTAGCACTAAAACCTACTTCATTTGTACTATATCATGCAAATACCCAAGGAAGACTGCTGAGAAAAAGATGGCTTTTCTAAATGATAATTGAGTCAGTGACTCGTTTACCCTATCAATCTTCTTAGTCCCCACTAGTTCCCTTGTTCTCTGAAGGCACAGAGAACCTTCAACCACACCAACATCTGGTCATCTCACTAAACAAGCATGGAATGTGAACTATCACCACTTCAGATAGCCCATGAAAATGAACCAGTTGAACCCAAAGCAAAGAAAGTCAAGGAAAAGATAAACACCTGGGATTACATCAAAACGAAGAGCTTCTGTACAGCAAGAGACATTAACCAAAACAAAAAGATACCCACTGATAGGGAAAAAATTTTTGCACTCCATACACTGATAAGGGACTGATCACAAAGATATACAAAGAACTCACAGGACTCAACAAAAATAAACAATCCAGTCAAGAAATGGGCAGAACTTAAAAGACATTTCTCCAAAGAGAAAATGGCCAATAGACATGAAAAAATGGTCAACATCCCTTATCATCAGGGAAATGCAAATCAAAACCACACTGAGATATCACCTTACACCAGTAAGAATGGGACGTATTAAAAAAACTAGCAACAACAAATGCTGGCGAGGTGAAAAAGGAACTCTCCTACCTTGCTGGTGGGAGTGCAAATTGGTCCAACCATTCTGGAAAGCTGTCTGGAGGTTCCTCAGTCTACTACAAATGGAGCTACCTTATGACCCGGCAATTTCACTCCTAGGGATCTACCCAAAGGACACAAAAACAAAGATTCAAAAGACCACCTGTACCCCTATGTTTATTGCAGCACTAATTACAATAGGTAAAACCTGGAAACAACCCAAATGCCCAAAAATAGATGACTAGATCAGGAAGATGTTGTATATATACACAATGGAATATTATTCAGCAATCAAAAAAAGATAAACTCATGCCATTTGCAGCAACATGGATGGAGCTAGAAGGAATTATGCTCAGTGAAATAAGCCAGAAGGAGAAAGAAAAAAATCAGATGGTTTCACTTATAACAGGAATATAGGGAAACCAAATAAGACATCAGTGTAAAAAAATAGTAACAGTACAAAGCAAAAACAGACAATTATAAATCAGAGACATCCTGCAGGGGAGGAGGGAGAGGGATCAGAAGGAAGGAGGGAGGAGCACAGGGGATTGAGGTGATGGTGCACAGGTGCACTGGGGAACGAAATTCCATGGGGACTACACTGAGGGGATGGGGGAAGCAAATATTGTTTAAAAATGAACAATGATGTAAAAAATGTTTTTAAATTAAAAAAAGAAAATGAACCAATTGAAATAATATCCATTCCTAATAGCTAGTTATAGTACTCTAATCCTCACACATTGTCCTAGGTCCAACTGAAGACATATACTGTAAAGCTTAACAGCTTAAGCGCAAAATTAAGTTTAAGAAAGAGGAAGAAGGGCAATGCGATGGCAGGAATACCATGAGAGATAAACTAGTCACAAGATTTTTTTGATGACTAGTGGGAAACTGTTTAATTAGACCATAGGACAAAATAGGGATGGTGTAAGACTAACAATAAATGTAGAATCAGATTCGAAAGAAAAACAAACTCATTTTGAGACTTCCAATATAATTATTGACTCAGGCAAGGACTGGTGTTAAATCATTAACGAAGCGCTCACAGAGAAACGGGCATTTCATTGTACCAAATGAGTACCTCTGAAATTATTTTCTGCTAACAAGGAAAAAGCACAATAACCTCATAATAGAGGGAGGGATCATGCTGTCACTAACAATTCTGTGGTCAATCAATAGTTTAACAACTATTGTATGCCAGATGGAGGCCTCTCAGGGCATGTAAGTATAAAACTTCCTCAAACATAGAGCAAACATATACAAAAACTACTCTATCAACCTTAAAACAATAGAAAATTCAGCGAACTTTTCATAATCAACAGCAAAGAAAAACATTCTATCTATTGTAAGGAAGAATATTAAATACAAAGAATTTAAAACAGAATTAACTTTAAGTCCTGTTTTTGAACTCTCTAGAGAATACCACTGCTTTAAATAATAGCATCCACTCCTAATACTTTCCCAGGGATGACTGGTTTGGCTCTGGGTGCTCCCAGCAACTGGCTCCTGGCCTTCATGACACTCAGATAAATCCCAGGGCATTCTACATTGTACTAACTGTATTAAACAGAAAAGTGGGGTAAGATGACTCACAAAGGGAACGTTTTTCTCTTAATTGCTGCCAAAGCTCCACCACACTGGCCTGAAAGTGACTCCTGGTTCTAGAATGAGATGAAAATAGTCATCCTCAAAGTGGATACAGCTCCGAGTAGTGACCACCAGAGGGAGGAAGTCGAGGGAGAAGTCCTGGAGTTTACACACTTCCAACCTCCCCACCCAAATTTAGTGGGGAATCCGAGTTAGAAAACAACTCCCGACGGATTCACTGGAAAAACTATGTTTCTCAAACGACGTAAAGGGCGCTGGGGCCTCCAGACCGCGTCTACTACCGCGCCGGACGGTGGGTGGGGAGAGAAACGTTGCTTCAGAATCACCAAAGAAAAAAATTCCTCCCACATCTCCACCCGGCGTCCTCCACAGCTCTGGGCGCAAGCCCGCGGCGAGGGGAGTCGGGCCGCGCGGCCTGCAGCGCCCCCCGGGCCCCGGGAGCGGCGCCTCCCCCGCCCGCCCGCAGCGCGGGGGACCAGCAGGTCCTCGGCCGCCATTAGACGCTCGCGCAGTAACACTGAAGAGCCGCAGCCACCAGGGCCGCGGGGGAGAGCGGGGAGGAGCCGGGAGCGCAAGGGACAGACCCGGGACCCGAGGAGCGGGGGCGCGGGGGCCACGGCCCGGGGTGGAGGCGCAGCCTGGGAGCGGGAGACCCCCAGGGGCCCCTCCCCCGCGCACCCCCCGCGGGAAGAAAGGAAAGGGACCCCGCGACCTCCCGCCGGCCCGGCCCGGCCGCCCGGCCCCGCGCGACCCCCGCCGCCGCCGCGCCGCCTCACCCGGCCCGCCCGGACGCGCCCTCGCTCTCGCGGCCCCGCGGGCCGCCCCCGAAGGCGCCCGCGACATGCGCGGCGCCCAGAGCGGCCCCCGAGGCCCCGGCGCGCAGCGGCGACGGCGGCCGCGGCGCGGAGCCCTAATCCCGGGCCGGTGGGAGGCTCCGGAGGCTGCCCTCACCCATCTCCGCCTCCCGGTCGCCTCCGCCTCCGCCTCCTCCTCCGGAGGCTGCGCCGCTCCCAGCCACCCCCACTCTCGGCGGACTGGACGGGGAAGACGGCGGGGAGAAGCCTCACCCGGTGCTGGCTGCGGCTCCGCGGAACGAACCTCCCCTCCCCCGACCCACCCCCCTTCTGCAGCGCGCACAACTCCGCTCGGTCCAGTCCCGGCTTTAGCGCTGGTGAGCAGGGGGAGGCGGAGGCGGCGGCGCGGCCGAGCCCCGGGAGGCCCCGCCCTCCGAGCCCCCATTGGCCGGCGGGAGGGCGGGCCGGGGCGCCTCGGGCGCGGCCATTGGCCACACTCGCCTTCCGTCAGGCCCTCCGCTCCCCGAGGGGGGCGGCCCGACAGGCCGTCCATCAGACGCGGCCCCACCCCCGGCGCCTCCACTCCCCACCCCGCTCGGCCGGCGGGCGAGTCCCCGCCCCTCCCCACCTCGCTCCCGCCTCCCGCCCCGCCCCCGCCGCCACCCCGGGGCCCGTCAGGGTCAGGCGGCCCGAGTTTCGTAGCCGGCTGCGCCCGCCAGGGGCTGGGTCCCCGGGGGGCCGGGGCCTCTCCGGGGCCCGCGATGGCCCGAGCGACTGGGGCCGGGGCCGCCCGCCGTGCTCGGGCCTGGGCGTCTAGGCCGCCGCCGCCGCCGCGCCTCCAAACGACCCGCCCGAGGAGAGACGCGACCTCGATGCCCCCAACGCCTTCGCTGTCCTGTGCCTTGAAGGCCCCGCGAGGGCCCGGGCCGGGCAGGGGCAGCCGCGGAGCGAAGCGGGAGGCCGGGGCCGCGGTGCAGTGGGTTCCCGAATGTTCTGAGGGCAGCGGCGGCCTTGCCACCCGCGCCTCGCCCCCGTGGGGACCCGTTCCCCCCACCTCCCGTCATGGCCTCAGGAGGAGACGACGTCCTCCATTTTGTCGGGGCTGCTGTGGGGACTTGGGACCAATTCAAAGCCAAACCCCCGCGGGGGCTGGGGGCTGGGGACCTTGCCCACGGGACACCCCCACTGGGCTCCACCATTCGGCCGAGGGGACATTCCCTGCTCCCATCGTCTGCGTCCCAGGGGCCGCGGGGGGCAGGCGCGACGGTGGACAGATCCGGACGCCGTCCCCGCCTCCATCAACCAAGATGGAGGAAGCTGCGGGCTCCCCTGGAGCTGGGCTCCCGCTTGTGGAAGGGCTGGGGGCTCCCCGGGGTGTGCCCCCGGCGCTGCCGCCATCCTCCTCCGCAGCCTCGTCGCCGCGCTCCCCTGGCTTCTACCCAGCCTCCCACCGCCTTCCACCATCTCCTGGTCCTCAACGGTGGCTGCGGCTCCCACTCCACAGTCGGCCCCATGGCTTCGCCCGACCCGGGCCCGTCCCGCCGCGGGGGGCGCTGCCCGGGGGCCGTGCCGCAGAAGCCGCATCGACGCCGGGGCTTCTCTTTTGTTCCTCGTCTACACACACCCACGTCTGGGGCGGACGTCAGGGCACTGTGCGATTTCCCCGGTTCCACGTCCACATGAAAGAAAGGCCTCTCGCGTCTCACCCAGCGGCCGTCAGTGGGATGGCAACGGATGGCGTTGGGGAGACCATCGCTTGGATAAATTAGAGCTCAAGGTCATGATGCCCAACACGACTGCCTATTAAAGAGTGCACGAGTGATGCTACCCCTTAATGTTCGAGGCGATGAGGAACGTGAGGTTCTTAAGGAAGCGCATCTTGAAAACAACGTTAAACTAATTAGAGACGGCACTTACGGAGCACAAGCTAGTAGAAATCGGCATTCATTCATTATAAATTAAAGAATCACGTCATTCTTCCACCTAGCACTTAAGGCAATATAGGCTATTTATTTAAATTGAGGCATGGCCAACATGGAGTTAACCCAGCTTCCTAAAAATAGTACCGCTTTTACTTTTCAGCAAACTTTTGATTTCATCATTGTACAATTTTTCAGTTTTCAACGCACCGAGGTATCCTCGTGCCACAGCAGTCGCTTCTATTCGTTGAGCTTGTGTAGTTCATTTATACTTAGAAGGCTTGAGAAAGATGCTTCCAAATAAACTCTTCCATAGACTTAAATGATAGCTTGGATTGCCACATGCTCTTCAACTTGAGCAAGTTCTATAGTTTACTCATTCCCTGGTATATTGCCCCTTCATAATTAGGGATCATGTGAACTGAGAGTTTAGAAGGGGGAGGGGAGGTTGTGTCATAATTTAAGTAAAAATTACACTTAACTTTATTTTTTAAAAAGATTTCTTTCTTTATGCAAGCACTGGGATACAGGCCAGAGGCGTGGGGGCGGGGTGGGGAGGTGAGAGAATTCACTTCACCGGAGACAGAGCCGGGAGCAGAACAGGCAGAAGGACGGAAATACACTGCTGAGAGGAGCAGCCGGCAAGACAGGAGAGGTCTGCCGGCCCTGTGGGAATCTCCCTGGCTGGCCGGGATTCAAACCAGCGCCGCAGAGGCTGCGGACAGCTTCACAGCGCTGCACTCAACCCGCTGCACCACCGGGGGCGCCCAAAACTTACACTTAATTTTGTACGAAATAGCTTTAAAATAAATGTCTGAATGTTCGTGACGGCATTCATCATTCCCAGAATGTAGGGACAAACCGAAATGGCCATCAACTGATGAATGCATAAACAAAACATGGTATATCCATGCAATGGAATATTACTCAGCTGTCACAAGGAATAAAGTTCTGATACATGCCACAACATGGATGGACCTTGAAGACATTACACTAAGTGAAAGAATTCCATATACCATGCCCTGGAAGGAGAATCCCCCTTTCTCTCGCCTTGCAGTCATCTCATGCCGACAGGAAAGACCACACACACATTGTAAGATTTCATTTCTGTGAGTTGTCCAGGCCAGACAAATCTGTGGACTCAGAATGGAAATTACTGGTTGCTTAGGTCTGAGCAAGGTGCAGAGTGCTAGCCAAAAGTGTAGGAAGTTTGTATTGTGTTGAAATGGATTGTGCTATTGTAGTGGACAACTGTGAATATACTAGTAACCATTGAGTCTGTGTGGGTGAGCCTTAGGGCATGGAATTATAACTCAATAAAGCTGTTACTAAAAATGTGAGTGTGGAGTTACACTGCACTCGTCGCAAAGGCATACATACTAAGGTTTGTAGGAAAGTAGCAAGGAGACTTGAACAGAGAAGACTTGCATTTCAAATATTTGTTTGGCCACTCAAAACCTTGAGCAGGTTACCTTCTCTCTGAGCTGCGGTTTCATCATTTATAAACAAAAGTAATCGGTGTTATTATAAGGACCAAATAACTTCTGTAGATAACAATTCCAGGCTCTAGAGGTTTTTTGGTTTTTGGTTTTTGGTTTTTTTGAGGGGGGGCTGGGGGCTGGACAGAGAGTCAATGCTCATAGGAATGAAAAAGATAATCCCCACACTTGGCAAGACCTCAAAAACTTGTTAGTTGTTTTTATTGTTAATACTTGACCGAGTGGAGTATTAGAAACACTCTTTATAAGTTTGAGAGGAACAGAAACATTGATATCTCCTCCACAAGTCATGTGAATAAATTCACATGATCTAAAGGATAAGTGAAAAAGGATAAGTAAAGGGTAAGTAAAAAGACGGGATGATATCGAAACTGAGGGTCGTATAGAATGAATCACAGGTTGAAAACCCCAATTTAAAAATGGAGATTTAAGTTGCCCCTCTTCCAAAGTATATGAAACACTTACTCATTCCTAACAGCATGTTTTGTGCTTTATGAAACTAATGAA